CTCAAAGCATTTAAAGAGATCCTTTAAATGCTTTGGGGGAGAAGCAGGGGCCACATGTGAATTTCAGTGCCCTCCAAATTAAAAAAAATAAAATGCCCCCCAAATTTAAAAAAATCCTGGCTACAGGCCTGGTAATGATCACACCAATAGCACAATTATTGGAACTGACACAACACCGACAAAAACCCGGAAGGCAGCTGCAATCTGGAAAATACCTCTTTCTCTCTGGCACACAATTGCTGCATCCTCAGGTGATATACAAGCAATGGACACTGCAGCCAATTAGTATTCCTCGTTATGTGTACATGCAACAAAATATGTGAATGTGCAATTGTCTTGTGATTACATGCATGTGGATTTAGTGCTTCTTCATGACTAGGGATTAATAATATCACAAATATGATTCAGTGCACTAAAAAGTAGTTTCTCTGCATTCACCTAGAAACCTAATAATGAACCCTATTTATCATTAAGGATCAAGAAGCAAAACAGGCATTGGACAATATTTAAAGCTAACCAAGAAATACATTTTGTCATACACTATAACGGGGCCAAAGTGAGTCAAGTTGCCCTTCCCCATACTTTATCCCACAATATATTTGGAAGTCCAAGTTCTTCAACACTCAAACTCTTTTTGCTATCACAGATTAGGAGACTAATCACAAAAAGGCTTACTCCCAGGAAAATGTTCTTAACATTGCACTGTAACATGGATACCCATCTAGAATTTAGTAAAAGTAAAGGTTCCCTTGCTCGAAAGCCAGTCAAATCCGACTCTAGGGTTGTGGTGCTCATCTCCGTTTCAAAGCCGAAGGGCCAGCGCTGCTCAAAGATGTTTCCGTGGTCAAGATTAACCTATACAGATCTCAGTGGAAAGCTGAAATTTTAGGGTTTTCTATACACATGGTATTATAAGTCTGGGTCTGAATATACATCTCTAGGATTTTTCTGTCCGGACAAGAAAGTCACATGACGCTGTCTAATATTGAGTCTAACCATTGGTTTGCAAAGGTCAGTGTTTGTTTGTTTATTTATTTATTTGATTTATATACCACCCTCCCAGCAAGCGGGCTCAGGGCAGTTTACATCACAACTTAAGATAATACAATTAAAATACTTTAAATAACATTTTAAAAACAGAATAGAAGTATAAATAGCATGTAAACAGATTAGATCAGATCAAATACATGAACATTTGACATTCATAAATTCACACAAGTCATTCGTATGTAGACATCTCCATAAAACACACTACAGCTCATTTTAAACTTGTTGATTTAATCGAATCCTAATTTTAGTTCAAGAGACCTTTCAGCAACATCATAATGATATGGAGATTAATTTAGTACCAAATGAATGAGCAATACAGATGAAGTACACCGGCAGCATAATAATTCACATATCATGAAGAAATTTTTCTAAACAGCTACAAAAACTTTCAAAATAGGATCAACCATCATTTTTACTATCATTTTTTAAACTTTTTAATTTTCATTTTATTTTTATTTTTTATTTTTTATTTTCTCTTATGTCTGGTAGTGGCTCTCAAAAGTCTCAGGAAGAGCTGTTAACATCACCTCCTACCTGGTGCTTTTTGAGTGGAAATGCCAGGGATTGAATCTGGGACCTTCTGCACATGCTCTGCCACTGATGCACAATTCTCTTCCCTACAGGGGAGGAATAATTACAAAATAATGCAGTGTTCGTATGTGAGTGTTTTAAATCCAGGATAGAAAGCAGGAATTCAGTGTGTGCATTCTAGCAAACATACAGTTTTACATGCACATTACTGATACATGAACCACAAAATCGTCATGTACAAAAAGATGCTTGCTTCTGCCTCTGCTTGAATGATTCTCAAAGATTAAATGCACTTGAAATATCTGAGTATAAGATATATTAAGTAAATGTTTAAATTGCAAATAAATGTCTATAATGAGTTGGTGGTCCACAACCCACAACAAATACAAATACATATGTGCTCATGGCATATCATACATCAACATTTAGATACAAATAAACATAACAGTTTGTGCTCACAGGCATTTGATTTTTATATTCTTAGTAGGATTTTCAAATACATCGCCCTCCAAGATAAATTTGCGTGCTGCACATCTCCTGCATTTATGGAAACCTCTAATGCTATTGACACCTCCTTCTGATTTATTTACTGAAATGTCTGCTCTCACTAAAATGTTCCTCAAATTGCAGTCCCTCCTGGAGCCAATATCTAGTGTGAGACTATGCCAATTTTTATATATAATGTTTGATATTGTTGGCCAAATAGGAATGTTGAAAGGCACAAGCAAACCGGTTTCTCCCTATATTGTAAAAGTTGCTTTCTCTCCACCTGATCAGCTCTGCTTCTAGCATTATTTATAACAGATTCTGGGTAACACCTTGCTCTAAACGGCTTTGCTAAAGCTCCTGGCTCCTTCTATACCCATGCACAGAAGATGAATTCCTTTTTGCTCTTAAAAATTGGCCATATGGCAAATTGGACCTTAAATTATACGGGCGGTTAGAATCAAAAAATAAATATGATTTTTTGTCAGTTGGTTTATGGTAAGGTTTGACTGCCAGTCCCCCCCCCCCCATTTATATATACCAGTGTGCCAAGAAAATTAATGGTGTGATTATTATAATGAATGTCACATTTTATGTTGATGTAAAGTATTAATCAATTTGACAAAAGAATCCACCAAATTGGAATCTGTAAACAAAAATAAAAATATCTATAAACCATTTAAACAGTTTAATACTGGCCACGTAAGGATTTGAAAATCCTACTAAGAATATAAAAATCAGATGCCCTTTTTTTGCAACATGTTCATCCAAAAATATTATGTACATCTCTACCTGCCCCTGTGGATTACGATATGTAGGCATGTCCACATGTTCTATTAGGACACGTGTCCTTGAGCACTGCTCAAGAGTACTTCATAAAATTGTTCAGGCACCAATGACAGAGCATTACATTCAGGCCGATCATTCTGCAAAGGAAATGGATTTCTTTGTGATTTTTGTGTACCATAATAGACCTCATGTCACCCAAAATATTACTCAGATTCTTTTACAAAAGAAGACCCATTTTATTTATGACTTTAAGGCCTATGCTCCATTTGGAATGAATCAGAGCCTGGATTATTCTGCCTTTATTTGAATGGCTCATCTTTCTATTACTGTTACTTTAAGAATGATACACCTGCAATCCATTAGCTAGTGTACTTTTATGTGGGATGGTGATGCTACTGTTTGTGAGAAACCTGGGATTCAACATAGCTAAAAGAACGGGTAGTAAGTCTATGTAATTCTCTTTGAAATTCGGGTAAGCAGTTATATTGTAATTTTCTGTTAATTAATTAAAATTAAGGTATTGCATAGATTGCATGTTATTATTTACAGTTCCATTATTCAGCCGTTTATCCAGAAGGAGAGACATTGAAATGTCTATATACGTAGGAAAGGCATTGGTTCGTCTATAGAAGATTTTTCAGTGGTCATCCTCTGCTTGATTTATGACTGCAGGAGGTTTTTGGACACTTTTATTGCATTTAAGCAAGGAGAATCAACCGGTTGGATTTATGTGCGTATCTTGTTATGTGAGCACAAACTGTTATGTTTATTTGTATTTTAGCGTTGATGTATAATTTGCCATGAGCACATATGTATTTGTATTGGTTGTGGACCACCGAGTCATTATAGACATTTATTTGCAATTTAAACATTTACTTAATATATCTTATACTCAGACATTTCAAGTGCATTTAATCTTTCATGGTCTTCGCTTGGCAGTTTTCTGCTGTTTTCTACTATCACGCACTAGGGATCCGTTTTGTCTGCTACTCTGCTTGAATGACTGTCACATGACTGCAAAGATCACTCTGTGGGAGGAGTTCCAGAAGGTGGATTGTTCCAGGCAAAGCTTCTTCTGCAGCAGAAGGCAGGGGTGGCTGGGACCTCAGATCAAAGACTGACTAGAGGTTTGTTAACTGAAAATTCAGTACGTCTTTGGTAAGATCCTGCTGGCATATTATGTTAATATATGATAGTGAGCTGTTTAACTTGTAGAAGTGGGTATCCGTGTTTCCATCTGAGAGAACTCTGATTGCCAGTTTCTCCACAACTGAATAAATGTACCTTATCTGTTGAGATTTTGTGTATTGGGCAGTATAAGAGACTCCCCACAAAAAATGTGGCGACCCAAAGACAGTCTTATAAATTTAATCAGAGCAAGGCCATTTGTTTAATGGTTAACTGCCATCTAGAATGGGTTAATTAACAGTTAATTCAATATCTACAAAGTGTTCCTAGATAACATTCATTAGACATTTTAAACTGAGTGGATTTTTAAAAAATGCCTGTTTCGTGACTTAAAAATTATGTTTTTGTTATGTATTTAACCGGCATTTCAGATTAAAAAAGCAGGTTCCCTGGCCCTTGGGAACATCCCCCATGTGGAAGGCCCCAGTCTTCCTTAGGAAGAGTAACAATGCTTGATGGTATACTCTGATCGTTAGAAAAATAGAAAGCTTATTTGCTTAGCCTGATACTTGGACTGCAGAAGTCTGACGTTTTGTTATATGGGAACAGAATTGCTGGCAGGTGGATGCTGAGAACTTTTCGAGCAGCTGAAGGGTTTGTTACAGTTTTTCTTTCCCAGTGTTATTGTTCACTCTGAGAAAGTTTGCTTGCACACAAAAGCTAATACTGTGAATAAAACTTTGCTGGTCTTAAAGGTGCCACTGGGCTCAAACTTTGTTCCATTGTTCTCTCTGTTAGCATACCACTATCGTAAGCCACTCTAGGCACACAGTAGAAGCCGGATAGGACTGCTTTGAAACAAAAGCAGTAAAGCACTACCAAAGATCTGTGTTTAATTCTCAGATTTTGAAATGCAATTTGTGAACAGCCCACCCTGCAGAATATCTTGCTTGCATTGCTTTGGTGACCTGCACACTTTTTGCCTTATATTTCAGAATTTCTGTTGCTTGAAAACCATGGCTGAGAAACCTAAACTTTACTATTTTAATGGAAGGGGAAGAATGGAATCTGTCCGCTGGCTCTTGGCAGCAGCTGGTGTTGAGGTTTGCACCTTTTTTTTTCCATAGGGAACTTCATGCAGATGGCTTGCTAGAATAAATGCCGACATTATAATGTCTTTTGCATTTCTAGGCAAAGGGGAAACTCAGGGAAAAACTAGATATGACTATGGGTAGGGGGACCAGGTGTATTTAGATAGGTATACACATGGGTGAGGAGGGCTAAACCCTGCCCCTTCCTCACGTTCTCTCGTTGTGGTCATTTTCTTTCAGTGCTCTTCATGGCTTCAATATCAGAAGAGAGCTTTGCTGGGAGAAAAGTGCGAGCAGCAGCAAAGTCCGTGAAATTAGGTAGGGGAGGAAGCACAGCTTAGCTCCACTCATGAAAATGCTCAATTTTGGCTTTAAAATATATATTTTTTAATCTGCAATCCACCCACTCTTTTATTTAGAGGAACTGGTAGATAAGTGCTCATGCTCTTCCCAGTCATATTTGGCCTGACTCGGTTTTTAAAAAACTTTACAATAATAACTGTGGGACCTATAATTCCCATCCATGGTCATTGGTGTTTTTTTCTCCCAATGCAATATCCTCACTGTTTGAAAAGTAAAGGGGTAGATAACAATGGCAACAGCAGGCTTGTCATAAAGAGAACCTCACGTTCTGTCTGGTGTGCTACCATCTCTTAATATTTAACTAATAAAGGAGAAGTCAGACCTTAAGCCCACCTGGAAGTCATGCTGTCTGAACTGGAACTTTTCTATCTAACCCCAAAGATGTGGCACTGGGAAATGATTACTCAGTGCTGAGGAGGAAACATTCTGCACTCCAGAACCTACTGTAGTTTTTAGCCAAAAAGCTTCAAATGGATGGTCATTTTGCCTTCCTCCCTCTCTAATCCTATGATGATGATGAAATGGTTTCTGAAACCTTCAAGTGAAGTTTTTACATATGAACAGAAATAATAAAAACAATTATCATAATCATTATTATATGGCAGTGTGTGTAGTATAGCCGGAGATCCTAGATTGCCTCCCAGCCAGAGTCAGTCAGTCCCAGCCAGAGTCAGTCACCTTGGGTCAGTCACATGCTCTGGCACAGCTGTCCTTGAAAAAGAGCAGTTTGTGTCAGAGTTCTCTCAGCCCCACCCACCTCACAGGGTGTCTGTTGTGGGGAGGGGAAGGGAAAGGAGTTTGTTCTGAGACTCCAAGTGAAGGGCGAGGTATAAATCCAATCTCTTCTTCTTCTTCTAGCTCTTTTAGTATTATGCAACACTAGGTGGTGAGCTAGACTCAAAGGTGGTTTGCCATTGCCTGCCTCTGTGTTACAACCCTGGTATTCCTTCGAGAATACATTGGAGGTTGCCCATCCAAATACTAGCCAAGGCTGACCCAGCTTAGCTTCCAAGAGCTGACAAGATTGAGCTACCTGGGTTGAACAGGAATACTATTTGCTAAAGCAGAAAATCTTCTCTCTGTGTGTCTCTGTCTGTCTGTCTGTCTCTATCTCACACACACACATTTGGAATCTCTTTTATATTTTATACAAGTCATGTGCCTAGACACACACTTGCACATATGTGCATGGATTGGATAACATGTGGCTCTAGTATAAGATTGCCAGGTCCCCCCTGAGCACCGGTGGGCAATACGTATATCTTCTGCCTGTATTGTTAGGTGGGTTGTGTGACCTACCATGCTGCTCATACACACAGACATATAAGTGTGCTGAACTGAATATTGGTGGCATGGTGTGAAACTGTGCTGCTTGAGCCAATCAATATGGCTGCTAAAACATAAATATATTTATTTAGTGCAATTCTGTTCCACCGCTCCAGGGAGCAGTCTATCAATCTGTCGTGCAATCTGTCAATATTTGGCAGGTATAACACATTTCTTATTTTCTTAAAATAAGAGCAAAATAACTTTGGAGGTTCCAGTGCCTAGAAAAAAATGTTCATCCAGCAGGTACTGCTCTTTGCCTATCTCAGGAATGTAAAGCTACACAGCAATTGGATATATTTACTTAGTCAATGTTCTTGATACAGAACAAGGCTTTTGTTCTTTGCACAGTACAGAGGCACACCTTCTGTTCTATGGTCTCACGTTGTTTCGATAAATGGCTCACAAAAGTTTTTGCTTGTTTTTATTATGCATACATAATTTCTCTCCCTCTTCAGTTTGAAGAAGAGTTTTTGAAAACTAGAGAGCAGTATGAAAACTTGTTAAAAGGTAAGACTGTCAAACTAAATGGAATACAGGAAGGGTGGGATTAGGCTCTTCAAATGGTTAAAAGCGCTCACTAGATGCATGTGTGACCTCACCTGAGTTACAGCCAAAATGCTGAGCTGGTAATCAACCCTTTCCTCTGTGCTGCTTCCCTTGTCTAAATCACACGCACCCAAAAGTGCCAGAAAAAATATGCTGGCTGGGAGGTTGTGATTTTTAGTGCAATCCCATTCAGTGTTACTCCAGTCCTAAGCGCATCAAAATCAAACCTGGAAAACATGAGAGCACCAATCCAATTCTGACTGAACTTGAATCTGAACTTTTTAAAAGGGAGATTCTAATCATGCATCTTCTGTGTTATGTCTGCTTTGACACTAAATATTTCTGTAAGAAATATTCCCTGGAATGTGTTGCAGCTTAAATCCAGGCATCGACCTTTAATTGTGCCAATACTGAACTTGCTGTTTCTTTCATTTTGGCATCATTTGCTTTCTCATTTATTCGTAAGAGTCCCAGCAGTAGGGATGGGCACAAACGAGCTCATGAACTAAAGTTTGTGATATTGTGGGCAGTTCATAGTTTGTGAACTGAACTTCATGCCAGCACAAACTTTCCACAAACTTTCAAGCAGGTTGCGGAGGTTTGTGCCAGTTCATGAATGGATAGATTTCTAGACAGACTGTCTCCACTCAAAAAGGTTTACCAAACTTCAAAGCAACAGCAGGGTTGGATTTCTCCAGCCTTGGAAACATTGTTGTCAGTTTCAAAGTAGTCATGTCAGTTTCAAGAGGCCCCCACCTTTGCCAGGGTTCCTTTCTGTACTCATTTTGTTGCAAAATCCCACACCATTTGCTTGGATTTGTGACTCTGTGCTTTGAGATCAGTCCTTTCAAGCTTGCTTGGATTTGTGACTCTGTGCTTTGAGATCAGTCTTTCAAGCTTGTAATGCCAGTGGTACTCGGTTCTGCTGGGCACTCTGTACATTGTACTTGTTTGGCTGAGCTTGCAAAAATCCCCCCCTTGCTTGGATTGTGATTGAGCTGGCATTGCCACATTGGTACTGGGTTCTGCTGGGCACTAGTACATTGCACTGGTTCTGCTGGGCTTGCAACCTCCCCCTTTGCTTGGATTGTGATTCTGTGCTTGGCATCAGTCCTGTTGAGCTGGCATTGCCACAATGGCACTGGATTCTGCTGGGCACTAGTACATTGCACTGGTTCTGCTGGGCTTACAAAAATGCCCCCGTTCAGTTTCTACTGCAGAAATTCTCTGGTTTGACCTTAGTCCTGTTGGGTTTGCACTGCCACAGTGGCACTGGTTCTGCTTGGTACATTGCACTGGTTCTGCTGGGCTGCAAAAAAAATGCCAGCCACCTTCAGTTTCTACTGCAGAGATTCTCTGGGACTTTGATTCCATTTTGCTGGGCTTCTATTGCCCTTTTTTGTTGTCCCCCCCTCTTGAAAACAATAGAGGATGAGGCACTTTCTTGGGGGGGCATAACATGAACCCTATAAATCCATTCCTCACCAAGCTTGGAGGGCATGTAAAGGAGAGTCAGCCAGAGATACCTGACAAGTTTGGTGTCTCTAGAGAACCAGCAGCGGTGTGGCAACTTTGGACTGCTCCCGGAATGTCTCCTGGGAAGCAGCCGAATCTCCGGTCTCTACAGGGAGGTCCGGGACCACCTGGATCCCACTGAGCCTTCCTGAAGGGGGGTTCAAGCAGGGGGCCTGAACTGGGCATTCTTGCATGCAGTGGCAGGCAAGTTGAGCCCAGATCGCCCCAATGCAGGAGACCCGTGAGTGCTCATTAGAGATCAGCCATGATCACTGGGACGCCTGGGAGATCCTTCAATGCACTCAGACCTGAGAATCTGCACATTTTGGAGTGATCTTCATATTGTAAGTAAAGGAGGATGCAACATTTGAGAAATCAACTGTAGATTTGAAGCCCCTTTAAACTTTAAATACAAACTGAAAGTAAAGGGAGAGGTGGAGATTTCCCCTCCTTTTTCCTACAGCAGCTTGGAAGAGTTGGAATGGAGTATCTAAAAGTCTTGGGGCTATAGAGACTTGGTTTGATATAAGACTAAAACCCTTGGAATAACTAAATAATATTTGGACCATAGCTTGGATTAGTATATTGGTAAACAATTTTAAAAGATCCCATTTGTTTTTGGCCTTTTTCTGTTTTTTAGCATGGACTAGCGTGTATTTTTGCTTTCCTGTTTCTTTCTTCTTCTTCTTTTTTGCCTGGGTGGACTTTTGTTTGTTTTTGGCTTTGGTGTAGAGACAGTTTGGTGTAGTGGTTAAGTGTGCAGAGTCTAATCTGGGAGAACTGGGTTCTCCGTAGTTCTGACAAGAGTTGTCCTTGAAAGGGCAGTTCTTGAAAGAGCTCTCTCAGCCCCACCTACCTTCACAGGGTGTCTGTTGTGGGGAGGGGAAGGGAAAGGAGTTTGTAAGCCACTCTGAGACTCTGAGTGAAGGGCGGGGTATAAATCCAATCTCTTCTTCTTCTTCTATTTGGAATTGCTATTGAACTTTATGCTGACAAGACTTGTAAAGGAGAGTATAATTGTTGAGCAGATTGCAGATGAGAAACCTTATTAAACTTTAAAAGTGTACTTTGAAACGTAAAGCAGAGGAAGAAATCTCTTTATTTTACTTCAGTGGCTTGGAAGTTTGGAATAGCTGGCATCAACTAGTTGGGGCTGTTGGCACGGACTATTTTTATTTCTTTGGTCCTCTTTTCTTTCCCCTTGCCTGAAGTGAATTACAGTTTTTCCCCCATTGTTTTGTATTTGTCTCTGTGGATTGCAACTCAAAACCTTTTTTGGCATATTGGATCTATAAGTGGTTTTTTCCTTTTTGTGGAATATTTGGATTTTTGGTTTAGTGAAGAATTCCCATTGGATTACAAAGAGGTCCATTTTTAATATGTGGATTATAAATGTTGTTTAAATCTTACTAGAAAAAAGAAGAAAGAAGACAGCACTTCTAAAACATCATTTCCTGAGTGTTATGGTTTTGTTTGGTCTCTACAGATAGTAACCACAAAATATAAACTGTACCTTTAGCAATGTAAATATTTTGATAAGGTTTTCTTGTTTTGGTATTTCTTAGGTTAGGAAAGGCCACTGTATTATTGTGACAGGGTACATAAACAAAAGCAAAAAGATTAGTGTTTTAGAGAGACAGGGTGACTGATTTCTTGTCTTAATAGAAGGTTAAAATATGGCTAGTGGCACCAAAAAAAGGCCCTGCAGGCCCATCTCCAGGACAACCAAAGGCTGTGGCTACTAATTTAGCCCAAATTTCAATCAAGGACCTGCAGAGCCTGATCCAAGAAGCAGTAGCAGCGGGTACTGATCCCATCCAAGTTAAACTGGACTCACTTGCTCAACAAGTAACAACCCAAACTGAAGAGATTAAGAAATAGATTGCAGTTAATAAACAAGGAATCTCTGGTCTGGTAAAAGTAACTAGCAAGCTGAAAAACAAATTTGAAGAAACAGGTCTTCAAGTCCAGGCCATGAGATCCAAACAGGACACTATGGAAGATTCTCTCATAAGGTTGGCACTTGATAAAGCTGCCTACATATTAAGATTTCAGAATGTAGCAGAGAAGAAGGATGAAGAATTAAAGACAGACATGGCCTACATACTCGCGGAATATGCAGGTGCAGAGAGTCCAGAAGAGGTCTACAATGAAATTGATATGGTATTTAGAATGCCTTCTGCATATGCAAGAAAAAATAAATTACCCTGAGAAGTATATGTGAGATTTTACAAAAGAACTATGAGGGACGGAATTCTAAAAACTGCAAATGATACTTCTCTTCAAATACAAAATGCAGAGATAAAAATACTAAAAGAGATTCCTTGGAAAGTACAAGAGAAAAAGGAAAGACTACATGCAACCTACAACTAAACTGAGAAAAATGGAATTTTATCTAGACGGCTGATACCAGAAGGTATTTTCTTTACTTTCAAAGGGAAAATATATCAAATTAACTCAATATTTAAAGTAGAAGATTTTCTCAAAACATATGGAGAGGATTTGGAAACACAGGAAGAAGAACAGTAGGGCACAGACAAAGAAGAAAAGGACTTACAAGGAGCAGTAGGAACTACAGGATTACCCCAAAGATTCAAGAAAAAAGCAGTAAGGATTGAACCATCCCAAATAGTCACGAGACTTCAACAGAAGAATAAAGAGGATACAGAAGATCAAGTACAGGATGGATAGAAGAAAAATCAAAATAATTTCAATAAACGTTAATGGACTGAATTCACCCCCAAAAAAGAAGATGGATTTTTCTACAACTGAAAAAGATGCAATTGGTTGTGGTTTGCAAGAAACACACATCAAATCCTCAGACCAAAGATATTTGGAAATGAAGAGGTTTCAAAAAGTTTTTATTTCTTCAGATAAAGAAAAGAAAAAAGAGGGCTTGCTACATATGTGAAAGATTATTTACATCCAGAGCTAATATATAAATCGGTAGATGGCATAATCTTGATGGCTCAAGTACAAAGACAAGCTAAAGCAACTTTGATTGTTAACATATATTCACCTAATCAACATCACCTACTTCATGACCTTATATCCAGACAAGATTTTGAAGAAATGATTCTGATTGGAGGTTATAATGCAGTATTTGACAGATTTTTAGACAGAAAAACAGAAACTGGAAAACAGAAACAAGGCAATGAACTCCCAAGAATTTTTTACAACTTGCAGAAGAATATAATTTGGTGGATTCGTGGAAAGTTAGAAACCTCAACAAGAAGGATTATACATATTTTTCTCCTAGACATAAGTCATGGTCAAGGATAGATATGTGCTGGACATCATCAGCAATTATAAATGATTTGGTGGAAGTAGAGATCCTCCCTGCAATATTCGCTGACCATAATCCTGTACTTTTAACAATACAAGATTCACCAAGAAAGAAAAGATGAACTTTAAATACTTTTCTTTTGCAAAATGAAAAATTTGTA